CAGATAAAATAGGAAATATCTACAGCTGGGCTGCCCGCGTGTCTGTCAGTTACAGAAGCGAGTTTCTCAGCTCAACTGAACCCCATTGTCTGAAGGAAGGCACCTCTTTTCTGGTTCAAAAAGATGATTTCACAGAAATGACTCCCTTCGTTACAACTTAATGTAACACACAGTAAGTTATATTTATATTCATTTAAAACCATTTCCCAAATAAAAGGAAACATTAAGGAGGTTCTTCGTGTGATGTTTAAGGTGCTGTGACAAACCAGCACTTAAAATAGGTTTATAGGAACTACAAAACGTTACATGATTTTTTTAAAGGTTGTATCTATAACAGAAGAGAAATAATTTGCTTTAATCTGATCCTTTACTCCAAGAGGTTTAAGGGTCTTCAGAACTGACCATCCACTTAACTTGGAAACGGAAGATGGGAACCCAGCAAGGGGTACCCCGGGCATCACTGAATGAACGAACTGGCAGAACCGATCTCAGCACTTGGGGTAAAATACACCTTTCGGACACGAGACCAGGCAGGGTTTTTTATTCGCACCCTGATGATCTCTTAAGAGAACCTTCCAGAAATGGATTTGCTCTTTCTAAACAGGATTCAGAATAGTAACCGTCACTCAGGAATCAGAGTTCTTTTGGAAGACAAAGAGATATCTATAAAATGCACCATGATCTTGGAGAAGTACATTACAAAGTTTTGAATACCAGAACAGATACAAGAGCCTGTAGGGCCATGTGACAGCGGATCCTCTGTTCTGATGACCGAAGACTTAAGGGGCCTTATAGCGACAATAACGTTAAAAGACAAATTATCTTTCTATCTTAGGAGTCTACATCAACTATCTAGCAGTAGCTATTTAGAATCTTTATTGGCACTTCGGCTACTATACACTAACATCAAAATTTGTAAGACGTGTGTTGAGAGACCATAGGGTTCCATTATGTTGCATAAACACAAGCAGAAGATTCAAATCCATTTCCTTTCATCTTTGAAACCCAACCCCATGAGACGTGGAAATACATATATATATATTTTTTTTTATCAAGTAGATAATCTGTTTTATCAATAGCTATTTAAGCCATTTCGTACATCGTCTCTCAGCTGAAAAAACAATACACCACTTACATCACACTGGAAGAGGAATGACCTCAAGATTTCCAAGCAACACAGCTATTTTTCACAGCTGAACTCCCTTGCTGATCGTTAGGAATCGTTTCAAAGGTCCCATTCCTGGCCTGCATCCGTGCCAAGCCCTTGGACAAGCCTGCAGCGCGATTCGCGTTGCAAAACATCCGAATTTCTCTGCGAAGTGCTAAATCCTGTCCTCCCTTTTCCCTCTGCACATCATCGCTCATGTCAGTCCGAGGTCTCTTCTGAATCAAGCTATGCTTGGCGTTACAGAACACAAGTGTGAAGTACAAGCTCTCCTGCAGCCTAAGACGCTACCTCGAACTCATTGTTCTGGCTGCGTCGCTGGCAGCTGTGGTCCAAACTCGGGCTTTGGCAGGCATTAGGCAGGGGTAAGCCCAGCCCCAAAAGGCTCAGTACTGAAGCAACACGTTTAAGAATGTGCTAATCGCCAGTTGGTTGGTATTTGCAGAACACATTAAAAACAGGGTGGTGGTAGTTAAGAACCGCCTCATCTGCTCTAATATGGTTCTATTTTCTCTATTGTACTCTTCTTACACAATCCCCCAGCATCTAAAATGTCGATGAAGGAAGGACAGATTTTTTGCTTCCCTTCCCCAAAGAGCTGGGGAATAGTACACTGCTAAAGGCAGGCGAGAAATAAAACGCAACTCCAGTAAGTTTTAAACCAGATTTAAGTTTTTTTTTTTTAATTCAAACTGACCCAAAGCAAAACTTACATTACAAAGGAAGAACAAAATACAGTATGATAGAACACACTCGGAGTTACAGGAAAGCTAAATTTGTGGGCAAAAAGGCCTCATCCCAATCACGTTCTGGCCTATGGAGCAATTCGGCAGGAAAGTTAGAATCTCAATTTTCGTATGGTCCACTCTGATCATTAAACTACACATGCTTGTCGTGTAGAGTGTGCACCTGACAAGTCACGCTAGCGCCCTTGTGGTCCGTATGTGCACTCTGGCTTGTACTAGAACACAGAATTCTCTAGCGGAAATGCTGGTCCAAGCATGACTGATAATGAATTCAAGAACAAAATGGCCAAGTCTTCCAAACCAACAAGCGCGGATTATTCTGTAGCAAATAGTTTAGAAATATGGGAATTAAATAATCTAAAAAAAAAAAAACAACAAAAAAAAACACAACAAACCCTTGCTCTGCTGTACATATATGAACACAAATATTTACATGGGGGAAAAAAAAAATCTTGGTTTCCAAAGATGAGGTTTGCAGTTCACGAATGACCGAAATCTTTTACGAGCTGGTTTCTTTGGTGTACTTGCCAAATATATTTTTATAAGGGGTTAGTCAGAGGCTTAAAAAAATAAATTTCAAAAGAAACATGAAGGATCAGTGACAAATTTGATACTATTCTGAACATCTCTGTCCAGATTCTGGAAAAACCAATCAGCTGATTTTGTGGAAACAGTTGTTTTCTCTACTTGTTACGTGACCACAAAATACCTCTCTGACAATTGCATCTGAACGCAGAATTGCACGCTTATCCCTGCCGTGCACGGATTACCAACTCAGACATTTTCATTACCGTTCAATGTGCTATGTGATTGGGATTTTATTAATAGCAAAAATAAAACATTCTTTTTATGCTTCCAGATAAATCAAACCTCAAAGAATAAATAATGGAATTATACACTTCTTCATTAAATAGAAATTGCAATTCCAGGAAGAGCGCTCATAATTTTTTCTTTTCTTTTCTGAAGTCGCAGCAGCAACAGAGGACGAAGAATTTACCTTAATCTGATCTTTTTCCTTGGAATTTCCTGACTCAAACTCGGTGGCTTAGTTTGGAAACCTTTGAATTGCTGGGTGGGGGAGGCTGGAGGAGAAAATCATTTTAAACTAACTGATTAAATTAATACACACAAGAGGAAAGAAGGCCCGTGCAAATATAACATCGATATTCCTGCTCAGAGCGTGGGGCCCCGGGTGTCAGGGAGAAGTCACGCTCAATTCATCTCTGGCTGTGCTCAGTCCTGGGCGCTGCTAACGAGTCTTAGCTCTGACCTGGGTATTGGTTTCAAGAATCAGAACCCAGCTCAGCTCCCAATTTCACGGGGACTCTCTCTCCTGGAAGTTAACTTTTTGGAGATAGCCTTACGGGGAAAAGAATGGACCGCCTATTTCTAGCCACCAGGCCGCTGTTGCAATTGTGGGAGGGTCACAAAGCTGGCCGCATGCTCACTGACTCCCCGCAGGAGAGTCTACGAACCCCATCAGCGATCCCCAACCCATCCTCTTGCTGAAGTTGCCCGTTCTTCAGAAACGTGCGCTCTCCTAGGACAACCAGACCAAGTATCCTGGCGCTTGCAGCTACTCTGCACCAAGGCAACAAACGTGGTGCTTCGGAAAACGCAACTGCTGGCTCTGGGGAAAAGCTAAACCGCAGTTGACTCCCAGTCCTGCTGTTTTCCTCTGCCGGCGCAACAGTTTCATACTCGAGGACGGAAAACCAGAAATTCAGACAAGAGAAGCCCTTCATCGTGTACACCTCTGATAAGAAATTTATTACGCGTGTGCAGCTGTTTTGAAATTGCCCAAAGCACTGAGAACAATGCTGGGGTATTTGAAAACGTTTTTTGGAAACCGACAGGATGACAAGTCAAGTACAGAGCCCCCTGCCCAGGGCAGCGCCAGAGATTCCTAACTGCTTCTGGAAGCTCTTCTGCTGTGGCTGACATGTCAGCACAGCCGTCTCTCTACACTGCAAGCGGCTGCCCCGTCAAGCCGGAGCGCAGCTGTCCTGCACAGCGTCCCTGCATACGGCCGTAAAGCAGACGGGAAATATTTCATTAGCACGTTAGGAATTAACCGGACTTACAAATGTGCACCCGTTAGAAATTCGACTCTCTTTAGAAATCTTGCGTAACTGGAAAGAAGGAAAAAAAAAAAAAACAAAACAAAACACCACCATGAAACTGCCCCAAATGATTTAACCATTAAAGCCACATGGTTTAACAATATTTGGGGCTATTTTTTTTTTTTTTTTTTTTTTTTTTAGGGAATACTCTACCACCAGGATATGAGATTTGCTGCTTCAAGTGGAATAAAGGACAAAGCTTGAAATGGAAATCGCAACTGATATGCTCTGGTTCTGCAATGAAAGTTAAAGTGGCCGTTCCTGTTCTCACGGGCATGTCAAAGCCGGCTGTGGAATGAGGAACATCAAGTGAAATAATGGATAAAATACACCAGGAAAAGTATTGCACTGGAGGCGTCATAAAAACAGAATACGGTGGCTTTAGAAAGTTATTTTCTTTCGTGTTAAATTTTTTTTTTTAAAAGCACTCTTCATCGAGAGACAGAAGCGGAGGCCAAATGTCTCTGGGTAGTGTACTACAGTTGTTAAAAAAATAAGTTAAAAACAAGAGCACACCATCGGGAAAACGGAGGTACCGGATTTCTGTCGCCCGGAAGCTACGGTCATTAGGACTGTTGAACAGTCTGAAGCAGCCAATTTGTTTTCATTGAAAAGGAATGCAGTGACAGTAGTCTGTCTGAAGGCCTTTTCCAGGGGCGCCCAGGCCCCCCAGGTTGGACCTGGGACTCCCCACTTTACCACGTGCTCTGCTGGTTTATGACAAGGTGCACGCCCGTGACACCATACGATTTGCAAAGGGTAAATTCTCCACGCCAAACCTGCTTAAGTCACTTTGGAAAGACAATTTTTGTAAATGCCATAGCGGGTAGAAAGCTTGGACCTCTTAAACCTGGACCAAGAAACCAAATTAAGACCTTCAAGCATGTGGTGTGTGTGTGTGTATATATATATATATATGTATGTATGTATATATATATATATATATATATAAAATAACCCTCCCCGACAATGAAAACCAAACAACCAACCAAACAAAAATAAACCTAAAGGTGTATACCTGCTTTCTGACTTCACGGCAAATCAGAAATTGCATAGGATATACTTTGTGCAAGGCAAAAAGCCTTTTAAGTATCTGGAATATAACTCCTAATCTTGCTCACAGTTCGGTGTCTATCAGATATCATCGAATTTGTGTTTTAAGTAGTCTTTTATGACCTTGGCAATTGGTAGTTCGTCAAGTAGCTTTAGGTTTTGAAGGCCTATACACTGTCGAATTTTAATTCGGCACAGGTCCTGCAAGTTTCGGGGCTGCCCTAAAAAGACAGAAAAAAAGAAAACGTTACAAAGCTACACAGTAGAATATTTAAAGCAGGCTTTTAGGTTCGGAAAAGAATCGCTTATTTCACTGGCTAAGCGTCTTTCTGTGGACGTAATAACATGCACATGATGAGACAGACTCCCATTAAGACAGTGCATCCTGGGCACCTTCCTGCGAAGGCTCATGGGATCCTTTTCACATCCCCGGGATGGTCGATATTTATTTTCACCTGCACTTTACAAATAAGGACACTAAGTAGCAACGATTTCAGTACGTTGATCACTGTTAGATGACCAGTTGAGCGTTGTGACCAAGATTAAAAGCGGCTGTGATTCTAGGCGCGGTGTCTCTGCCAGGACAAGGCAGAATGCCAGGCTGCACCGTGGCGGGGCCCCTCACAGGCTGGGGAGCCGCGTGGGCCGGTCGCTCTCTGGGCTTCAGCGTCTCCATCTGCAAAGCCAGGGGACCCAATGAGATGCTCTCTGACGTGGCTCCTCCTTAGGACATGAGGTTCAGACACGGACGACAGTTTCTGGGGACCATTCCCAGATGACACCGGCCCAGCTGTTCACTGTGATTCTGGACCCAGGGGAAGCTTGGCCGTGGGAGTGAGGGCGCAGACCGGGACGGCAGGAAGGAAGGTATCAAAGGTACCCCCAAGCTCTCCTGATCTACATCTCTTCCAACATCACACCGCGCCACCTACCCACGGAGAACCCTAACCCTAACCAATGAGCCAACGCAGAAGAAAAATTACAAAACCCAATTTCTTTCACTTTGGAATACTGCGTTTTACCAAAACAATATAGAGGACCACAAGCATTAAGCAAAAACTCTCAGTTTCAGGAGCGTTTCGATTTAGGCCAATTCCGCCCTCACATTAATCAGCGGTGATAATGAAGGCAGCACACGCAGCCCGCTTACACATACCGGCCCCTTTAATCCTTTTATGAGGCTGGTGCTTTGATCGTCACCCCGGTCTCAGACTCCTCGTGTCTGAGAGATTAAGTCACGTGCTCCGAGTCAGGGAGAAAGCTGTACCTCAGTGCTTCTCAAACTTCTCGGTCTAAAAACCTCTTTATACTTTTAAAAACCATCCAGGACCCAGAAGAACTTCTGTTTTCAGGTGGGTGATAGCTATGGACAATTAGATGAGAAGCGGAGAGCGAAGTTTCAGAAATACAGGTTCATTTAGAAGCAATACAAATAAACCTATCCCACGCTAACATAAGTAACATTGTTATGAAAATACCAACATTTTCCAAAAACAAAGTGAGAGGCTTGGCATTCTTTTGCCTTTTTTCAAAGCTTCAAAGCGTTTAAAGGTCTGGCTGTGTTCTCCTCTGTGCTTCTGCATCCAACCTGTTGTGACAAAACCACATCAGCTGGGTTCTGGAAAAGCCCACTCACGCAGCAGAGAAGGAATGGGGAAAAGGCAAGTCATGCCTCAGCGCTGCTACGCAAAACGTTTTGACCTCAGCTCCCCTGGAAGGGTCTCGGAGAAGGCTAGAGGTCCCCAGGCCACACAGGGAGACAACCATCGTTCTACTTAGCACCTGAACTGCAGTTGTCTGTAGCAATCCCCATTATTCAAAATTAATTAACTCTTCATACACAAAAAAGGCTCCTCAAAACTCAGACCTCTGCTCAGGCAGGAAGGCCTGCCTGTAGGGACAAGGGTTTCCCAAGAGTCACTAAACGTATGGGCTCTTAAAAGAATCACAGGAGAAGCTACTGATTCCCTTGAAATGCCTGTCAAGTAGGAGCATGCGTGTGTCTACAGAAGTCTGCACAGGGAGCCGTGTGGGGCTGTGTCCCTGTCCCCTGGCTGGGGCGTCTCCTGGCCATCTGCTGAAAGGGCATTTCGTTAGGGGAGATGAGGTCAGGCTCCCAGCACGTCCGCCGGGAGCTCCTCTCGCGCGCATCAAGACTGCGATCTGACGTCTGTGTGGCGTTGCCCATCAACGCCCATCTTCCCCACTTCACGGCGCGCTCCGTGAGGACAGGGACCCCCTGGCTGCCAGCGTGGGCCTGGCGCCTGACACTGCACTCGAGTACGGGCTGAAGGAACAAACACTTCACAGGCTGTCCCTGCAGGACAGCACAGCCAGCTCTTTGCAAAACACACCCGTGTCAACAGCAAATCATCTTCGAAGCTGTTTTGAATTATTTTTCATCGCCACGCATAAGCTACCATTAGGAAGGGAATAAATTATCACTGCCATTTTTCAATAAATGCTGACAACACTTGATCTGCACTGGCAAGCCAGAATATGAATTAGATGTGAACCTCCTTCCATGAAAGCAAAGAATGTGATTTTCCTACGAGATGGCAGGTTTTTATTAAGTACAATATTAATTAAAAAAAAATATCCACAGTGTGTCCTGGCAAAAAAAAAGATGAGGATCAAGTTGACGTACAGAAGTATCCACGCCCGCCTAAAGGAAGACGTACCATCCAACCAAGTGGAAAAATTAAAGACTGGGATTGCTACGTTATTGGTGAAAAAGAAGGGATTGAGAGGCAAAGGTCCCGTGACAGGGAGCTTCGGATGGTCTCACTGCGTGGTACACGGGTCCCCTGTGCCTCCCGCTCCTTTTCACAATGTGACCGGATGCTCCCGGCATTAAGAGAGGGGAGTCGAGGTCTCCGCTCCTTGACACTGGCTGGGCTTGTCACCGCGGAGGGAGTGATGCCACGTGACCGTGGTGGCTAAGTCATAAAAGGCGATGCCGCTTTCCCCCCACCCGGGGACATCTGCTCTGGAACACGGCTCCCACCAAGCCACAGAGCAGTCCGAGCAGCCTATAAAAAGGAGCTGCGGTCAGTGCCCAGCGGCTGTGGCCGCGGTCCCAGCCCATGGCTGCCACCGACTTGCCCGCCACCACCTGAGTGAGTGGCTTTGGAAGGAAAGGGTCCCAGACGAGCAACTCCAGATGAAACTGCGCAGAGCAGGGCAGTGAAATAACCGACCAGCACTGTTTTAAGCCGCTACGTTTTGCAGCATTCGATGGCCTGGTGAGAGCCTGGGCCCTGGAACCAGGGTTGCCCTGAAAAAAATCTGAAATATGTGGCTTTGCCATGGGGCTTGGAGAAAACTGCTGGTTGGGGCCTGGAGGCGAGTTTGGTGACTGTCCCCTGTGGCGCCATGAAAACTGGAAAGACTCCTCAGGCAGCATGATGGTGCTCATCTCCTCTGGGACAAAGTGCAGGAAGGCAAAGATGAGCTGAGTTTAAATCCAGGGACATGGTTACAGAAATGCCGCCCTCCTCAGAAGTGGTCTCCGCGCGGGCCTTCCCAAGGGTAGAAGGAACTTTCTATGCGTCAATATGGGAAGGGTTCACTCAGTTTGCTCCTGACTCTTCCTCTCCTTCAGCACTGTGCTGTGGCAATCCTTTAGTATCTTGGGAGAATCTAATTTTTTAAAGGTTTCGCAACCATGTGTAATTCCTGTCTGTAGAATGAGCTCGAATTCCAGAGGCACATACTGCAGGTGTTCAAGCGGCCAACTTGGAGCCAGATTCCCCGGGTCTGACTCCTGGGCTACCACTTCGAACCCATGTGTCCTGGGCAAGTCACTTAGCCTCCAGTCTCTGTGTCCTCGTCCGTGACCCGAGGACAACGTCCCCTACACATCACAGGCTTTACAGGCATAAAGAGAATTCATTTTGGTGACATGCTTAGAATAGAACCAGACACACAGCAAGAGCTATATAAGTAGTAGGTAAATAAGTGTTGACACAGCAATATTTAAATAGTTGTAAAAATAATGTTTGCCTCTGCTTCCCAGAAAAGCAGAAGGCGCCTTCTTGGGAGCTGAGGTCCCCACCCTCCTGGTGTTAAGAGCGAAGAAGCTAGTTGAGAGCTTCACAGTCAAGGAGCGATTGGTAATCCATTCCGCGGCAAGGGTCCTGGGCAGACGGGTGGGAACCAGACTGGAAGGCGCCGCGTGGCTGGAGCCGGGTGTGCCAACGGTAACTGTCTGAAAAGACGGGCAGAGATGGCGCGAACCCATCACCACCCCACGGCACATAGAACTGCTCTTGCCAGGTAGTAGCCCCGTGAGAAAAGCGGGCTAAGTAACAGGGTCATAAGGGACTGCTCACTGTAATTACGGTTCTTTCTAAGGCTGAGGAGCGAGTTTTATTTTTCAGGAATACCATTTTGGGACTAAAGAGGGCAAGTGAAAAGTAAGTACTTATTTTCCTGTCAACACATTGCCCAGAAAGGATGTACTGAGCACCTACTATGCACTGAAAAGCGCACTGTGCCAAAGATTCAAGGGAAGAGAAGGAGGCAGAGAAAGAGAATACAGGAAAGAAAGAGGAAAAATCAACACAACACGTGTACACTGTTTATGAGGTGTCTCAGAAAATTATTCCTTCCCCGTAACAGCATGGAATTGTAACTGAGGACTGTCCCCGGGGGGGACATCACACAAAAGAGTATAATTTAAGGAATTATAACACTTTGGGGATGCATAAAAACTACAAGGTATTCATACTAATGAACTACAATGGAATTACGTAACAGTTCAAAGGGCTATTAGTCGTTCCTTTTGGTAAAGAAGCCCGTCATTAGCAATAATTGGGCGGGTATAAAAACAGGAAATCAGCTTTTGAAGGGTCTCATTTAGTGTAAATTACAAAACCAGGGCAGCCGCGTAATTTGGAAAATGAAATATTCTAACCCACCCCCCTACTTTGGATATCACCATTACTCTGTTTAAGAGGCTAAACTTATTTATTTGGATAAAAGACTTGTGAAAGTAGAGAGGCAAAAACACTTTTACGTAACCAAAATGAACAAAATAAAAGCAAAACAGGTTTTTCTTTGGAAAAGAGGTAGGCAGAGACTGGAGGTGGAAGGGAGGGTGTCAAAATAGGGGGGAGAGAGGGAGAGAGAGAGAGACAAAGAGAGAGAGAGAGAGAGAGAGAGAGAGATTTAACTCCCTCTGGATGGCTTTGTAGAATCTGACTTTTCCTTCAAGCAC